ATGTTACTGGATACACACTGTTCTTATCCGTAAGAAAAAAAGAGTACAAAATCCTGGAAAGTAAGTTTAAGAGGCAATATTTGAGCGCAGAAGGTGATATGTTGGAGTATATGAGAAAACATAACCCGGGTCTCTTTATAAGAAATTTGGTAAGAAGAAAGCTAAAACACCAATGTGTAACGGTAATCAATTGTACAATCATTTCAAAAACCAATCTTCTGTACAACAAGATAGTGATCCAGTACATCATGACGACTTTAGTCTTACCGATAATGACACTGTTTTTGAGGAATTAGATGCTCCTATTTCGTTACAAGAGGTAAAAAATGCTATTCGGAAATTGAAATGTGGAAAATCACATGGACCTGATGGTTTGTTAAATGAATGTTTAAAAGCTGGCGAGGAATTACTTCTTCTAACTTTATCTACGGTGTTTTAAATGACCCTAATAACTTTAGAGGTATTAGTTTAATTAGCTGTCTTTGTAAACTTTTTACCTCTGTTTTAAATAAACGTATTTTAGATGTGTGTACAAAATATGACCTTATTACTGATGCACAATTCGGATTTCGTCAAGAACTTAGTACGATTGGTGCAATTTTCGCATTACATTCTATTATAACGAAAACTTTATCTTCGAAGAAACGTTTGTACTGTTGCTTTGTGGAATTTCGCAAAGCGTTTGATTTTGTCGACAGGTTAAACTTATGGCGCAAGTTGACTAGGCTTGGTATTCGAGGGAAAATGTTGTCTGTTATTAAGTCGCTTTATAAATCAGTCAAATCCTGTGTTTCAATTAATGGGAAATGCTCTATTTTTTTCGAAAACATTGTCGGTTTATTGCAAGGGAAAATTTTGTCACCATTACTGTTTTCACTTTTTTATCAATGATTTTGAAATGCCCTTTATTGAAAACGGTGCAACATATTATGACTTCGTTGAGTTAAGTTTGTTTCTGTTAATGTACACAGATGATTTGGTTATTTTTTCGGGATCTGTACAGGGTCTGCAGACTCTTCTTGACAGCCTTTTTGAATACTCTACAAAATGAAATTTAACTGTAAATGCGGAAAAACAAAAATTGTAGTTTTTAGAAAAGGTTGAAGATTACATAATGATGAAAAAAGGTATTACAAAGGAAGTAAAGTCGAATGTATGGATCAATTTCCTTACCTAGGCGTTATTCTAAAATACATAATAATTCACTTCTATCCAAAAACAATTAGCTACCCAAGGACGAAAACATATGTTTGCATTGTTTTCAAAGTGTTCATCATTAAACTTAAATGTAAAAACTATGCTACACCTTTTCGATACATATGTAAGCAGTATCCTTTTTTATGCAATTGAAATTTGGTGTATGCACAAAGCTCCAGAGATAGAACATGTACATTTACATTTTTGTAAGAAATTACTAAAAGTGAAGAAATCGGCCAATAACAATATGATATATCTTGAATTGGGACGATTACCTCTAGTTTGGATGAGAAATATTAGAATGATGAAATATTGGTTTAAGATCTTAAAATCTTAAAATTGTATTATATCCACTTCCTATAGATTTGTATTACAATGTTGTTGTAAAAATGATTTTAACTGGGCTAAAGCAGTAAGAGATGAATTAAATAATCTAGGTCTTATTGATGTTTGGTTAAATCCATGTATTTCTCAGCATAATATGTTATTACCATTGATAAAACAAAGATTTTTTGATCAAAACATACAATCCCTGGAAAACTTTCCAAAATGTTTATTGTATAAAAATATCATAGATTTTGGAAAATCATTACAATTTTACCTCACAAAATATAAACCAATGAAATATCGCATTTGTTTAGCTCGAATCCGTTCATCTACACATTCTTTGGCTGTAGAAGTTGGAAAGTATAACAATATACCTAGAGAACGTAGATATTGTAAACAGTGTAACTCTCCCTCTGAATTTCATTTTTTATTAGTCTGTTCTAAATTCCAAAATCACAGATCACGTTTTATCAAAAGATATTATTCGAAAAAAACATCTGTGTTTAAAGTCGTTCAGTTATTGAGTTTCCATACTATTAAAGAATTGTGTATACTAGGAAAATTCATCTATGAGGCAAACAAATTAAGGGTATTATAATGGAATATGATTGTCTTCATTCTCTGTACGTTGTCCATGATTTGTGTATAATATGTATTGTATACTAATGGGCCAATGACCTAAAGTTCGAATAAAACTTGTAACTTTTAAACTTGTAACTTGAGTTTCTTTATCAGATAAATTAAATTTGATTACACATGTATCCGTTTGTTTGGAAAATGATATTTTTTTATATATATATTTCAATCTTGCACTATTCGTACCTACCTTCTTCATATACTATGGTAATGTCTGTCAATGGTACTGCCAAACGTGACACTCATTCCGTAGATATCAGACAGGCATTAATGTATAAGTCAGATTGGGGTCCTTTTAGCTTATCAGCTGATCATAAATAAACAGCGTAACATACTTTAATAATGTTCACCCGTTAAAATTATCGTTTAAAATCCTGAAGTACTTTTATTTGACTCGTCAAAAAGACAAGCTTGTACTGTTCCAATGAGAAAAAAGAGGATATTTAACAGTGTCTTCAGTAGAATTAATTGTAATTAAATTGTAATTGACGAGTGCGACTAATATGTTGTGGGCATATTCGTGGGAAAATGTGATAATTACTACATGTATTACTGAATATATTTTTATTTAAATATATCGTATTGTCGTAACGTAACTGGATTGGGCACAAGTTATACAACTTATATAAAGCCCTTTCAAGAAAAATTTACAATCATATATACAACAAAATAACAAGATGGCACCCTACAAACGCTTAACAAATAAAGTAGCTAAATGACAAGTATTATTATACATTTTAAACAACAAAATCCTACCCCGAAACGTGAAGCTAAGCATCAAGCTAACAAGGCTTTTACTGGTGCCGTTCACTACTCGCCTTGTCCAGTTTTTTCCCCGTCTTTTATCTGGTGCGATCCGCAATAGATAGATAATACAGTGTACAGGGTTAAACAATTAATAAATGTTCAAAGTTCACTGTTCGTCGAGATTCAGTACGTGTCAATAGAAGTGTATCTTAAAATGATAAAAGGCGGTTGTGCCAAAACATAAATAGAACTGGATAAGACATATCCATCACATATGTACGTTTTGTACTTACAATGCACAGGGACCTGATCATTTGTTACAGCTATATTTGGACCTGAACTAAGGTGTTTAGAGTAATTTTACACGTTTGGGGTGTATAAATGCCGCCCCCAATGATCACATGATGGAGAAGATCGACCCCACCTAAAATCACATTTCTATTTGTTGTACAAACAAATGATTGGTACCGTTGGAAAGATGGATATTTTTTCTTTCTCAAACCTCCTATGTGCACGCTAAATGTATTCTACTTCCGTGGACATAATCTCCGTTTCCTCCAACAAAACACGCCATTTCAGAGTTTTAAAGTATTTTGCAGTTAGGCTGCCACTTTTTTAAATATTAACGAGGTTGACGTCAGCGCGTGCTGAAACATGCAGTGTTGGTTGGTTTAGCGAAAAAATGGCTGCACTTCCAACGAATCACACCAAGGGTCTCAGCACGTGGCTGACGTCAGCCTCATTTATATTTAAAAAGGTGGCAGCCTGACTGCGAAAAACGTTGAAACTCTGAAATAGCGTGTTTTTAATTTCATTTAATGTCAATTTTTACCGTTACGTGACCGCGAGATTCTTTTGATGTACATCAAAGGATCGAACTTGTCTTCTTGTCTCATCAACAAGGTGGCGCACATTGAGCCTTAAATTGCTATTCCCGGGGTGTAGAGAGCGAAAGTGAACGTAACCCCTGGAATTCGAGGATGAGCTATTGTTAACGGATTTTGTTTACGGTAATTTGATATTTCTTACCTTTAAGTGTATTTGCTGCTGGATCTAGAGACAACCATTTTTATTCGTTTCCGAGTTTCTTGCTTCATTGTTACTTACGTCGCGTACCTCAGGTTTGTTTTGCGATCAGAGGTTTACATGTGTCCTTTGACAAGGAGAAGTGTAGGGTCCTCGTTTTAAGTTAGTCATAGTGCAGATGTAAAAGTTGTAAACAAAACAAGGTATATATGTGTAATCATATTCCGTGAGTAATAAAAAGAATATACATATACAGTGTACCTGGAAAAGTATTTAAGTTATCCCGTTCAGACATGCTCGGTCTTTTATAATGAGTTAAGCATTTTAAATACTCTATGCAATATTACGCATTAAATATAAGAGAAGGAAATGAATCAAAGACAGGTTATATCTATCTCAACTCCAAATTTGATAGCGAATACCTCTCATTAGTATAACTCATGTTAGGTCCATGAACAGGGAAAACGTGAAAAATTACTAATTTGCAACAAGTGGAGCGGTTTATTACCTGGTGGGGACTGTTCCGGCTACTGACACAGATAACATCGCTCATGTTAGATTCAGGTAGATAATTCATGCAAGATAATGGAGAGGAGAACGACGGAATATGTAATGCTACTTGTTTTATCCCATGAGACCTGTTCCGCACTGTCCAAAATACTGAACGTTTCCCCATGAAGTAGTTTGAAAAATATTTCCTTTCCGAAAGACACCATGGAAATGGGATTCTTCCTCAATTAAAACAGGTGGAAATTTAAGCCCGTAAAACAATAGTGAATGACACATCATATATATATACATGTAGTGATTATTTGATCAAAGTACATAATGCTTATATATTTCATACAGGTAAATATATTTAAATTTATTACATCATGGAAGAAAATGACACTATTAAAGTCTACACTGATACATTTTACGTGGGTATGAATAAAGAATTCTGAATCATAAGTAACCTTGACCTAAATTGAACAAAACCTTCCAGCCACGACTTACTTGCGTGATAATAGGCAAGGGGAGACTTGCATTTGGCTACTTTCGTTTTACGGCTATATATGTCGAGTTAGCTAAGCGCTGTGTAGGATGCCTTGGTATTAGGATACCTGTATGTGAAGAGCCCAGATAACTGTGGTGTGTGTCCGATATATTTTGCCAGGTGACATGTTTACTAGATAAGAAGATTAGCCTGTTCATTATACACTCTTATCATATACGCCGACAGTGATAGTATACGTAAGACCCGGATGCTCAGTGTACAATTGTTATCCAAGTGACGTTTTGTGGATTTTCGGGAAGTGTTCCTGATCCTAGTGACCAGAGAGTGCCCATCACTGAGTATAAGGGGTACGTAATGGTTGTATTTCGTCTCTGAGGTAAGCTGAGGTGACCATTGACCAGAAAGTGACCAGTGGTGGTCATTATTATTGCTCAGTGGTTTATCTGCAGTAAGGATAACAAATTGAGCGAACTGTGACTTTAACAATACCCAAGAGTGACCCTGGAGTGGACAACGGTGAGCCAGACAGTGATTTTTTGGGAACAAGGTGATCAGGCAGCGACCGATGACCAGAGTACAATCCTACAATCACTATGAACGAAACACGAGCAATGCTGATAACGGTTTTTGCCATAGCGTTTGTAACGATCATCCCCATCATCCTGCTCGTCCGAGTCGTGACGTAAGTATCACCATCCTTCTCGTCCGTCGTCCGAGTTGGGACTTAAGTACAGCACTCCTAGATGGCTCGATATGTTTTTTAATGACCTATACTAAATGCATTTTATTTCAATCTGATTGAATGTAGAATGTATACAAGTTCTCTGGAGTATCTGAACTGTCTAATAGAAATGTATTCCTTCTCTATCTTCTGTATCTACAGTTGTAAACATGTCGACATTTTTATAGGATACGTGTTGATAAATATATGCCGGTTTTAATCCAGACATTTACAAAAAATGGCTGCCATAGCTTTCAAATTTTAAAACATGTTCAGATTGTTCGGCAGAAAAAAGTTATGTTTAAATGCATATATAAAAATTACAATATACAGTATGTGAGCTATTGTGTTAGACGAAAAACGTCAGTCTCTAAATACGCGGGTCTTATCTTAAGATGCTGATATTTTCTAATATGAGCGGTTCTGAAACAGATGCAATTTGATTTAGATTTATATATACCATCATATGTAAGTGATTGAATAGTGCTTGCATTAACATCATTATGCGATTTAATTTAAATACGACAATATTTGGTGATTAGTTTTCAGATTTTGCTTTGTTCGTTTTTTTGTCTTCGCATCATAAATATAAGCAATTATCAATTGTCAGTGCTATATATACATATATATATATATATATAATAATAGAAGCACAAAGTAAAATTTACTATCATTAAATGTACTTTTGGCAATCTCCTGTCATATGTATCAAATGTACCTGTATCATTCATTTCACGAATATTTCGAAATTCTGATATTTTCTTAGCATGAAACAGTCATTAAACTACATATCATGCAGGTGAAATATATATGGTCATCTTTTTCTCTGTATACAGATTTTAGTTTAGTTTTGTTTAAGTTGGAACTCACATCCTGTGAAGAGTATTCATTGCTAGGAATACGTAACATATATCCTTAAATTTATTGTTTCTGTAATACAATGTACCTTGTCTTAAGTAATCGCTAGAATCCCTCTTCAGCCGAACCAGAAATCGGAAGTGGGACCTCATTCCATGAGGCATCCACAATAGTCTACTACATAGGAATAAGTTGTTGTAATTGAAGTCACAAAACCGGACGGTAACAGATATTTGCTGAATAAGTCAAAAATATGTTTGTTTATAATATTGTTTATTTTTTTATGTAACAGATTTACCAATGCTGTTGAAGAAATCAATCGACTTCGAAATGAGAACAGCGCAAATGGTACCGGAACCGGAAATACGTCGCTCGCCTACTATGACGAAGAAAGGTAACTTAATTTGTATTTTCTTATCTTACGATACACATTTTGTTTTTAAATTGTGTATAAAGAGAGGACAGCTGTTTTCCATTGACGGTTTCATGGATTTTCATTGGCTGTCGTTACAATTGTAATATTTTTCTATAACGTAAATAATGATTTACCTGGAAATTTTAGTTAACCTGTTTTGCAAAAATTTAACGAAATTCATTAACGTACGATTTTCCATAGGGAAGCATTACCGAGGTTAAGAAAATTTCCTGAAGAATTGAGGAGTCTTAAATAAATGGATACCATTAAGTTAAGACGTAGACTTGTCTTAATTACCATGTACACATGCGCGTTTTCGACCGGGTTCCTTGGGCACCTGCATATTTCTAATTTATAAATGGCTTTCAGGATGTAGACATACTATTCTGACACTGATTGCGGAAATTCCGAGAGAATTTAAGTACACTTTTAGGTAACATTCGTAACATTCTACACATGTACTAAGATTGCCTAACAGGATGCTAGGGCGTGACAGGGGTAAAAGGTCGTGTATAACCTATGTTATACCTATAACCTACGTTATACCTATAACAATAGTGGCGTTTATGATAAAAGTTTATGATAATATATTCATTCCACGACCTTAGGGTTAATGTCATTTCGGACATTGGTGTTTTAAACAATTTCATGTACATAGTTAGAGATTACCATGTTCAAGTATGAACGTTCGGTCAGTTCTTTGTCGAACCATGTTGAATGGAGTCTATACGCTCAATACTAGCAAGCCAATACATTAATATTTACTGTTTATACGGGACACGCTGGCCAATGTACTGGTCGTTATAAGTAGGTCATTGCTATACAGCCACAGGGATTGTATTCTACCATTTGGTAATGCCAGATCACACTTGCTGGGGAACGTCCAACTGGTGAACGTCCGTCTGGGCGGTCACCTCTGTACAAAATACACCGTCTACATATTAGTCTGAAAGGTTTATTGTATAGGTTGGGAGGTTAGTAACACCTTGACCTGTACAGGTAATACAAACCTGGACTTTCACCTGTACGTCTGAAAATGGAACAGGAAATAATGTTTTGTTAGCGTGAATGAACGTTTATATGAGATGAATACTATCAGTCCAGGTAAATCGTTTTGACATTGGGATTTTGATAGGGCGTACTTATGTTTCGATATGTATTATTGGCCCCACATGAACTCCAGGCGTGGTGGACATGACCCCGACTTTTATATATATTGACAAAGATCAGTAAAGGCATATATATCTTTTATTAAAGGCTCCAGACTGTAGCGTTGCATTTTTTCCGTATAACATCAAGTGAAAATAAAGACAAACATTCCCATCAAGATTTCATAAAGGAGCAGGAAGACGTTATTGGTTGTAGTACTTTCGTTTGTGAATTGTGTGTTAATGAGTGACGGAATGGATAAGAAAAAGGCACATCACGTGTTTGTGCTCGTGCTGGGGTTCGGAACATTAGTGACTGTGGCGGTTGTCATGATAGCGAGCGTAACAAGGTAAGTGTATTCTAAAAAAAAACATTTAAATATGAAGTACGTCTACGATGATAAAATCAATTTACCAATGTCTTAACTTCCAATTAAGGGAAGTGTGATGTCATCATCTTAGTCAAACAGGAACATGTCCAGTGTCCAAATATGGCAAATGAAGACAGCGCACTTTGATAGACAAGATAAATCACATTAATGCTATTTGGTTACATGTACAAACAGTTATCAAAATCACAACATATAAATTTAAATCGCAAATGAAACCCTGATGTCCAGCAGCCCATGTCTATTGTAAAATACTTATGATATGCAATACTATGAAACTTTATACGTTCATTCATATCAATCCCATGTCATAGTACGACCACGTTATAATTGTACAACAGAACCATGAGATAATCACACTCGTTAGTCATACCATGATTAACAGGCTAACGCTACCTTACAAGTTACTCTAGTCGGCTAGGGTTTCGTCGGTACATCAGGCAGTTACACTGTACGGTAGCGCTAATTAAAATTGATTAAATCCTTGTTATCATGCACCAGCTTGTAAAGACGAGAATAAACTCGTAATAAACTGTCTTTATGAAATGACGACACATAAATGGTATTTCAAGGTGTACACTAACGATTTTGTGATATTAGGAATGGTAAATGAATCTTTCCAAATCTAATTAGAATAAGATCCTATTTTGATGACACAAAAGGGATTGCATAGTAAAGAAGCGTTGTATGATAGAATTTAACTTTAGTTATCTTAAACCCTTTTTGATATATATGGCGCGATAGATGACTTCACAGAATTGTATTTTTTTGTGTCTCTTAAACATAAGGTATTCACATCTTTTAATTGGTTTATTGTTATAGTTATAGGACAGGTGTTTGGTTTATTGGTATTGTTTATATAACAGGTGATCGGTTTATTGTTATAGTTATATAACAGGTGATCGGTTTATTGTTATAGTTATATGACAGGTGTTTGGTTTATTGGTATAGTTTATATAACAGGTGATTGGTTTATTGGTATTGTTTATACAGTTGTGGGATCGCACAACGTTACACGATGTGCGGTGTTCGCGCGATGTGTGCACGGTGTGTGAACGATGTGTGCACAAAGTGCGAACGATAAAAAATTGGACGATCAATCCTTGCGCACATTTGTGCGGACGATCGACGAACGTTGGGCGATAACAATGTAAATTAGGGAATGGCTTGACAATATATACGGTGTCGTGTTTGAACATAAAATTAGATTTTTTGAATTTTTCTATACTCTAGCTACATCTATAAGCTTATCTTTCTGTCTATACTTTCTGAAATTTAGAAATGGTCTTTTGTGGGTTTTTAAACGACCTTTATCGACACGTGTAAATTTACAACACAGTCTCGGCTACAGAGGTAAATATTGCCACTTTGTACCTGGACCGTAGTTTACCCCGCCCGGGGCACTTACGTAACTCGCCAAGGTGTGAAAACCAGATGAAGGGGAGCTATAGATCAAAACGAATGCAAATAACAAATATTAAACGTCCAGTTGAGTTTTCATAACGGTCATACGGTATCATATGTCAGCTCTATGTGCCAAGTACAGGCCAGGTAAAACTCCGGTCACTCATCAAATTGTTATTTACCTGTTCTGTTACCGAGGAGCCAAACCCATTATAGACAGTCTAACGGTCACTGTATACTGTATTATACGCATTGTAAACTTGTATATACTCTTAATTATAGTAGAGACGTATACGTCTCTGATTATAGTGATGAGAAATTACAGTGATATATACAGTGCACATTATTGCATACGAGCATTCCGTAATTTTTCCATTCCGTAATATTGATCAACAAATTGTACCATATGGCACAGATGTGCGGAGAGAAGCCCACAACGGGGCGAACGATTGTTAAATCGCACAGTTGTGCGCACCATGTGTGGACGATGTGCGGACGGTGTGTGAACGATGTATGCACGGTGTGCGCACGGTATTTTTGGTGCGTTGTGCGTTCCGACAACTGTATAACAGGTGATTCGTGTATTGGTATGGTTTATATAACAGGGGATTGGTTTATTGGTATAGTTTATATACCAGTTGATTCGTGTATTGGTATGGTTCATATGACAGGTGATTGGTTTATTGGTATTGTTTATATAACAGGTGATTGGTTTATTGGTATTGTTTATATAACAGGTGATTGGTTTATTGGTATTGTTTATAAAACAGGTGATCGGTTTATTGGTATTGTTTATATAACAGGTGATTGGTTTATTGGTATTGTTTATATAACAGGTGATTGGTTTATTGGTATAGTTATATAACAGGTGATTCGTGTATTGGTATTGTTTATATGACAGGTGATTGGTTTATTGGTATGGTTTATATGACAGGGGATTGGTTTATTGGTATTGTTTATATGACAGGTGATTCGTTTATTGGTATTGTTTATATGACAGGTGATTCGTTTATTGGTATTGTTTATATGACAGGTGATTTGTTTATTGGTACAGTTTATATGACAGGTGATTGCTTTATTGGAACAGTTTATATGACAGGTGATTGCTTAATTGGTACAGTTTATATGACAGATGATTATATTACAGGTGATTCGTGTACTGGTATGGTTTATATGTTAGGTGATTCGTGTATCGGTATGGTTTATATGTTGGGTGATACGTGTATTGGTATGGTTTATATGTTAGGTGATTTGTGTATTGGTATGGTTTATATGTTAGGTGTTTCGTGTATTGGTATGGTTTATATGTAAGGAGATTCGTGTATTGGTATAGTTTATATAAATGGTGATTGGTATATTGGTATTGTTTATATGTTAGGTGATTCGTTTATTGTTATATTTTATATGTTAGGTGATTCGTTTATTGGTATTGTTTATATAACAGGTGATTGGTTTATTGGTATGGTTTATATCACATGTGATTGGTTTATTGGTTCAGTTTATATGACAGATGATTGGTTTATTGGTATAGTTATATAACATGTGATTCGTGTATTGGTATTGTTTATATGTCAGGTGATTGGTTTATTGGTATGGTTTATATGTTAGGTGATTCGAGTATTGGTATGGTTTATATGTAAGGTGATTCGTGTATTGGTATAGTTTATATAAATGGTGATTGGTATATTGGTATTGTTTAAATGTTAGGTGATTCGTTTATTGTTATATTTTATATGTTAGGTGATTCGTTTATTGGTATTGTTTATATGACAATATGTTAGGTGATTCGTGTATCGGTATGGTTTATATGTTAGGTGATTCGTGTATTGGTATGGTTTAGATGTTAGGGGATTCGTGTATTGGTATGGTTTATATGTTAGGTGATTCATGTATTGGTATGGTTTATATGTTAGGTGATTTGTGTATTGGTATGGTTTATATGTTAGGTGATTTGTGTATTGGTATGGTTTATATGTTAGGTGATTCGTGTATCGGTATGGTTTATATGTTGGGTGATACGTGTATTGGTATGGTTTAT